GGCTATCGCCTCGTGCGACTCTTACGCTTCTTTCCTGCTTAGCAACCTCCCGCGTACATCCATAACTCAATAGTGCACGCTATGGCGTTTACCATTTGTTAAACAGAAAAGTTACACTCAAGACCGTGTTTGACCACATTTCCAAACACCGAGAAGAGAGTTGAAAATATGACGCGTAGCGGAATATTTTGGACGAACTTCGAGGTGTTTGCAAATGTGGTCAGACACTGTCTTGAGTGTTTGATCATATCTTCTCAATCGAAACTAAGACTAGGGAGAAAATAAAGAAATGATACCGTAAAAATCTATGCTAATTAAGATCAGATGTCCAAACACCGTCTCGGTCATGATTTCCTTTGTTTAAACGTTTAAACTTGATAAATTATTAATGATTTGAGAACTAACTTAACGTCAGTCCCTTCTTGAGAGTGTAACACGGTTTCCCAGTGTGCAGCCATTGAATGAGTCAGAGAGTCTCGGTTTGATGGAGGCTTCTTAACCTGATGAAATACAATAGTCATGTACATGAACAAATTTGAACTGTTCAACTGAGCAAGGCTTATATATTGTTGGTGTATACAGTGAGCTCTCTCTAAGACGGACACATAGGGCGCGACCCTAGCTATCCGCAGTAAAGAGAGATCAGTCACAGGGTCGCGTGCCTATTATCAACCACGTTGATACTGATGACGTGACACCGCATAGATCCTTGAAGTGTCTCTCAAAGATTGGTTGTCACGCAATAACGATTTTCGCGCGCCGTGACAACCATCAGATAGATCACAAAACTTTTCCGGCGCGAATCTCAGCGGGGCTAAAATGAGCGCGCAAAGCGACCTGCCATACTGTTTTCTCCAAACATATCATAAAGGACTTAAGGTGACCATCTGGAAAATCGCATTGAAGCATTCTAACTTACTCACCTGAATTTTGCTGGGGAGTGGATTTCTTTTGATCTCATTCAGACTCATCTCTTTCTTGGTAGCGGGAACTTCAGCTGTTTTCTTTTTCTCTTCTTCAAGGCGATGCTTTTTCTCCCTCTCTGTAATCTCCTTCTTCACGAACTCTTCACGCATGCGCTGTTCTTCTAGCTCTTTTTGTATCCTTGAATCGGAAAACGTCGGCAAACCGTCGACTGCATCGGTTTGGTCTCCGTTGAACGAAACTCTTCGAAGAACATTGAATGAACTCCTATCGTCATTTTGTCCCTTTTTCAAAGACAAATCTCCTACGCTTTTTGCTTTGGATAATTTGCCTTCCCTTCCTCCAACACGCCGCAATAACTCTTCTTCTCTTTCGATTTGAGCCTGCGCTCCTTTACCAAACACATCGTCAGCGGAAAACGGCGCTTTCTTGCCGACAGATCCCGGCTGTGAGTTTCGCTCAATATTGAGTGAATATCGCTTCTTTCGTAACTCTTCCTTGGAATCCTTCCTCGCTCCTGCCTTTTCGAAGTTAGCTTTCCTTAGCTTAACCCCAACGCTGGTGTATTCCTCGTTAGCTTCTGTTTTAGAGGCGGGTTCATCTTGATCGAACCCTTCGGTCGGGTGTTCAAAACTGGACGCGCGTCTTCTTGGCAGTGTATTTTCTTGTTTACTCTCCTCTAACGCTTTCAAAACTCGCTGCTCGAGAATCAACTTATGTGCAGCAAAGGCTGTTTTCCTCGATGCTGCTTCTTGCTCATAGCCCTGTTGTCTTTCAGCATTGTCTTTGTGGCGTTCCTCTGCTAGCCTTCGTTCGTGTTCTCGCTGTTTTTTCCTCTCTTCTTCTTTTAACAGCTTCAAACGCATCAACTCTTCGGCTTCCTTCTGGTCGACCTCTCTCCTTATTTTGTCAAGGTCTGCTTTCTGTGCTTCCCTTCTCTTCCGTTCCTCTTCTTGCATCTGTCTAAACAGTTCTTTCTCCTCTTGTCTTTTCCGTCGCGCCTCTTCGTCCTCCGCTTTCTTTGACTGCACTTCACTGCTGTCTGCCTCGTTTTGTATTCGCTGTTTGGCATCGACCTCGTCCGCAGGAGGTGACTCGACAATGACCGCGTTCGTTTGCGGAACAACTGTTTCTAGTTTAGTCTGTTTCTTCACTGAAGCCGTTTTCCCACCCAATCCGTTTGTCTGAGACGTTTCTCTAGGACTATGCTCTTTCGCTTTGACTTCATCGCTTCCTATTTCAACACCTTTGTTTTTCTCCATTTGTTTCTTCGCTTGAATTCGCCGCGCGACTTCCGCCTCCTTCTTAGCTTCTTCTTCCCTGACTTTCTGCCTCTCAATCTCCAGCTCAACGAAGCTTTTCCGATTCTCAGCCTTCCTGTTCACTGCTGCCTTTGTGGTATCTTTCGTTCTGCGAATAACGGGCTGGGTCTGCGACTGAGGTTGCGGCTGTGGCTGCGGCTGACTGAACACAGGCTTCTGAACTAGACGATTTTCACCAGGCCTTTTATCTACCTCATTGCTTACACCGCCATCACTTTCGCTTAAATCGATAACACTCCCCCGTTTGGAGGAAATCCGAAGCCCTTCAAAATCACCGCCGTCTAGAAAGTCTTTTTTCTCGTCAAATATTGGTTTCTGAACGAGATCTTTGTTTTGAAACGCGGACGGATGTTCGTCCTTTTTCGTATGCTTCAATTTCTGTTTCTCCATCTCAGCTCTTTCCTTTTCTTTGATTTTCTCGATCTCAATACGCGTCAATTCTTCCCGTATTCTCTGCTCTTCCAGTTCTTGTTCAATGACTCTGCCAGCTTCTGTCTTAGATAACGGGGCTTTCTTCACCTCCTGCCTTTCCTGCGCCAGAGAAACTTGATGCTCGAGTTTTCGTCGTTCTTCCTCGAACGTCACTCTTCTCTGCTCAGCAATTCGTTTATGTTCTTCCTCCTGTTCATCAAGCTCTTTGCGAGCTTTCCGCCGCATTTCATCATCCAACTCCCTCTGTTTTGCTCTTTCCTCATCCTTTCTCTTCTTCTCCTCCAAAACAAAAGGGATTAGTTCTTCTTGCGTCAAACTGCGCGGCGATATTCCTCCGGTGTTGCTCAACTTGGCATCGTCTGTGGTTCTGCAACAAACAGCAGAGATCCGTAAATACTGGTTATACGGTGCTTCCTAGTGGTATACTTCACAATTATTCCACGAGCGCGCGTTGGATATGAGATGAGGGAACGACCGAACGACCGACCGTAAACAAACAAACACAGAGACGGAGACAGACAGACAGACAGACGAACGGACTGACTGACAGATGGACGGACGGACGGACGCACAGACAGACAGACAGACAGACAGACGGACGGACAGAAACAGAAGTAAACAACATAGTACCTGACCTTCGTTTATGGGAAATCTCTCGTCCTCTTCTAGTTTTAGAAACGGACAGACAAAGAGACAGACAGACAGACACAACCACCATACCTAGCTTGGTTTCCAAGCAATCCTTCGTCCTCGTCCAGTTTTAGAAACAAGCCATCCATTCTACTTGTCGCGGAAGACTGAGCAGTTGGTGCCGTGGTGACAAGAACCGTTTCTTCTACTAAACTTGGTTTCGTCGTTATTTCTCCCGGGTTATACCAACAGGCTTCTCTTTCCCTGTTCGTTGTATATGCGTCATTGTTTGCCGGCATCTGAAGAGAACTCGTTTTCTCGTCGTCAGTCCTGTTTCCGTTCATAGTGTTTGTGTCACTAGTACTGTCGCCAATACTCTTGGATTCCAAGTCTATGAGCTGTTTCGTTCCCGAGGATAAATCACCGTTTATCGTGGGCTGCGGATGGCTTGGGGACGAGCCGTTCATGGACAAAAAGCTATTGTTGTCCTAACAAGAGAAAAAGGTGATAACATAAGACTGGAATAATCTTCTATCTATTTTCTAGCTTTATCCTGTTGCCCCTTCAGTACCAAATAACAGACCTTTCCAATTATCGCATTCCAACAAACACTGACGCCGAGTCGAGGTCAGGGTGGACAAAAATACAGCAAATGTATGAAAATGTCCACCCCAGCCTCGCTCTGGTACTATTGTTCGTACGTATTGAAGCGAAAGGTTTATTAAGTTCCAGGCTTCCAGACTGCAGGAACGGACAAAATAGACCCGCGAACGAAACACAGGACATGGAGAGGAAAGTCGAGAGCAATCCATGCTCCTATATGTTTATAGAGCCAGCAAACTATGCGTTCATGGGTTGATTGGGGAGAAATTTTGTGCTTGTACAAATTTAGAAGCAAGTAACTAAGAGTTTAAAATTAAGTTGAAAAAGCTGCATCACGATAGATTAACACACTTTTGCGTTGAACAAAAGATGTCGAAGGGAAGCTAAAAATAATAGTTTACCACGGGATTAGAAAGGGGAAAAAACTTGTGCTTACACAAGTTTAAAGGCAAGCAACAAATAGTTTTAAATAGAGTTTAGACATGAGCTAAATCATGACGAATTAAGGCATTTTTACCTTTATATCGAAGGGAACCTTAGGATAATAATTTAATAAAGCGAAAAAACATCAAAGAAGTGATAATAAATCAAAACGGAACAAGGATGGTTAAGGATTGAAATAACTGAGACGAATATAAATTAAGAACAATGATTTCGAAGGAGGAAGGCGAAATTTTTCGAGATACAATTACGCAACCATGACGTCAAATCCTCAAGAGAAATATAGAAACAACTCTCTTTTGGAAATAAAATTAGCCATGCCAATATCACGTTTTGTGGACACAAATTTAAATAACCGAGTATTCTAGCCTGTAAATTCTATTCATGAAAATAAACCTGATTGTGGCAAAACTTGTTTTCATATACAAAATCGGAAATGATCTAGAGTGTAAAATTAAAAGCGAGTCAACGCCATATTGGTTTGTTAGCTCATGTGGTGATTACTTCCCGATACTGAGACTTTTCAGTCTTAACGAAGACAATATTCAGAATATCACATTTACGTTAACACAGCTTTATTTTCACGGTTAGACCCACAGTCCACATTAATCCGTCACGAAAACGGAACTCTTCGAAAAGACTCTTCAAACCGGGGGAATTTCAAAACACCGGCATTTCGTTTTCTTGTGGACGGAAAACATTTTGAAAACGGAGCTTTTTGAAAACGATGACGTCACGATAATCACGTGATTTCCCTGACTGAGTTTTCCTCAAACACAAATCCAAAATGACCGGTGATTGTTGCGTCTTTGAATTCTTCCGGCGTAGTGTGGACGGAAAACATTTGATGCGTTTTCGGAGTGAAACCTCCGTTTTCAAATTCCTCCGGGGTGAATAGTGTGCCTCAGGCAAAACATTAACAGTATTGCAGCTTGTTTACTGAGCATATTGACGAAAAACGTCTGTTAGCTTAGATTAAATTCATCTTGCAAGACTGGGTGAAAGTTGCAGCGTCCAACGATTTTCGAAAAGATGCGAAAGAATAAATATAATAATAATGAAAATTCATGATAATTATTCCGTTTGACGTGAAAACGATGGTTGCTTAAAACCTCAGTCGCCCTCTGGCGGTATTGCCTTGTGTGTCAAGCATATTCACGTGAGAAACACGCCTCGATCGAATGATATTCTAGTCGAATACTGCCGGAATAAAAGCAAAAGGCAGTTAACAATTAAACCATGGATGTTTAAAATTCGTAGTTCGTCAAGTAGAAAACTGAAATACATTGGTTTCGTCCGTTCTTTGCTTTATTTGTTTAAGACGTTTCTGTATGAACTTACCTGCACAGCATGGTCAAGTGATTTCTTCTCCACTTCTTTGTTGCTGTCCTGAAATTGGCCTTCCTTTCTTATCGACTCAGAAGTTTCGTCTCGTCTTTGGTTCAATTCTTCGCTGTTGTTTGAGTAAACAGAATGCAATCTGTCCGTATCTATACCGTTGCTGACTCCATTAGCGGCCGGGGACGTTGAACCAGAAGATGTTTCGGAGGAATTGGAGCTAGAACGCTCGTGGTCTTCACTCAAATCGATGACTGTACGTCCAAACTGATCTTGCCTGATATTTGCTGTGTGTAACACTGGTACTGAAGGCTCCTCTGATATTGAAGCACCAAAATCTGTTGACACAACAAATGGGACGCAAAGTTGCTTGCACACTGTTTACAGTAAGGCGGTCACGCAATATACGAGTTTAAGACAAACATGTGCGTTGCTGCCATTTCTGGAAAAAAGAATTCATGTCGGAAGAACCATTATATTTGTGAAAGGGGAAAGGTTGGGCAATTTTTCTGAGCAAGAATTTCTTATCAGGGTGGAGGAAGAATTGTTAATTTTAGAATGTCAGGATCGTGCAAGAACTTTTTAGTAATTTGCTCCATAAATGTATGTGTCTTTTAGGAGTATAGATTTTTTTTCTCGTTTTATTTTGTGCGGGAATTATTTTCAATTGGTAATTGCACAAACCCCTCATCAAAAATATAATGGCCGTTCCCTGACACGACTCTATTGGTAATAAAAACGCCTATAGAGGCTAAAGATCAAATGCATAGGACCGATATAAATTAATATAATATATTTTTCAAAATAACTTGGACCACAGTGTCGACCTCAGTAGCAAAACTACTAACACGCCAATAACCCGAAAACACAAGTAACCTGTTATTCAAACTTCACACAGATCAAAAATGTTCAGAGATACAACTTTTTGAAAACCTCTAGTTAGAAAGAGAACTGCACTGAAATGAGCCCACGATTTGCTTTTTTCAAAGACAGCGGCATTGCTTAGTAACAAGATTTCACATTCCAAAATTTCGCGCTAAGTTGTAATGTACGTCAGGTTCTTTTAGCATGCGAGTTACTAATGTACTGTCGAAGGAACAAATTTTCCGCTTCGGCAAATATAAATTCAATGCAACACAAAGCGGTCATTGCATTGCTTTCTATGTTTTCGAGAAGCTAAATGAGTTGGTATGTGTGGAAGGTACAATCTATCGAAACAACATGTTAACAGTTTGCCGACCGATGTCCGTCGAATAACTTGTACTTTACTGTAAATAGAGTATTTTTTCAATTTAATTATTCTTGGATTTGTTATTATGACTCAATTTAACACTCTCCCCATCGGTCGATACAGAGTCGTAAATAAAACTCTACTGCACTATGGCCTCTAAATGAAAATCACTGTATTAAACGTGTCAATAGAGATTTTCACTGGTGAAAATAGAATAGCACCTGTTATAGGTAGCTAAAGAAAGAAATCTATGAATAGCACTTCACGTCCTGAGAGAGAAACACTTCACAATGATCCAAATGGCAAGATCTGGCAGATAATGTGCTGCATTGCAAGAAGAATTACATACATGCAGGCGAAGATTATTGCACTTGACTAACCATGGCGCATTGGTTGTGACAATTATAGCCTCGCGACAAAAACATGTCACAATAACCCGTATTAAAACATAAGTAGTACTTTCTAGAAACGAGGCAAGCAGCAATTACCTTTCATTTTACGACGACACAAAAATTTGACAGTTCAATTCTTTAGTTTTCTCCAAATAATATGGAATAGTGGAAAAGAATTCAACTCACAAATAGCATTCTGTCAAGTTTCTAATCGACGTGATCGTAATTATTCAAACTACAGGAAAACAAACAGCAAAATATGCATTTAAACGTTTGGCGTTTGCGTTAAATCTCGTCTTTGTTTCTCCATCTGTCAAACCTTTCTGAGAGAGATTGGAGCTGTAAAGGCCTTGAAAGGGAAGTTCTTTAAGATTGAGTGAGATTTTGAGCATGTACATCAGTATAGTTGCGGAACAAAACCCGTCAAAATGGCTACCGGTCAATGTTTACTTTTCCGTCCGAACTCTTTGCAGTTTAAGGACGATTTTGCCCGGGCCAAGGCGAGTAATTAAGTCGTACAAACACCACGGAGGCAGAGTCGTGAGACTGAAACGCCAGTGGGATTAAAGCCGACTGTTATTCAGTCACGCAAAACCAATTTAGAAATTACAAAGGGGAGGTATTACCGCTCAAGTCGCCACTTTCTCTCCACAGTTTCTGTATCTCCTCGTCTACTTTATCTGTAAGAGGCGCTTTGTATTTCTTGCTCGCTCCGCGAAAGATATCTTCACCTGTAGCCTGGCGCTTTATGAGAAAACTTCGGTCAAACGGCTTGAAACTTTCTCTCTTCGACTTGTCTTTCAACTGTTGCAAGGTCTGCAAGAAAATGCAAATCAGTCAAGTTCGGGAACACATGCTAATTCGGCTGTTAAGCACGCTTGGGCGCTCAAGTGTCGCTAACACTATGAAGTTACGGCGAAAATATCACTTAGAGCTATTTAGAACTGAGGTGGAAATTTCGAGAAAACACTATCAAGAAAGCATGCAAAGAATGAGGTGCAACTAAAACTACAGTTTATTAACCAAATCAAAACAAACGAAACAACGGCCTAGTTTTATACCTCATTCTTAGTAACAGGTGCACACTACTCAGTTGTTCTACGGTTGTGCTAAAACGACTAAAATGTTTTCTATGGATTATTCTTTTTCATGGGTTAATTTTTCTAGTAACTTTGAATTTTGCAACTTTAATAAACGAACGAAACTTCCAATTTATTAGATTTAACTTGTCGGAACACTGTAGCGATAACAGAGTGGTAAAAGATGGAACTATTGTAAGTTATCAATGCTAATGATGGTATATTAACATGACAAAAAGTGTTTCCAATCGAAATAACAAGTTGAGTCCTTTATTTACTTGTATTATAATAATTTATATGCATATGGATAAAGAGTTTTCAAAGCATTACAATGCACTTTCTAGTCATTTTAGTGATTAAAAATCTTTTCTTGGCACCACTTAGGAAATCCTGCTTTGCTATAGATTAGAACACGTTTTAGCACATAAACAGAAAGATCGACGTCGCCACGAAACAATTTTCGTGTTGGACAAATCAGTCATTAGTGAGTCTGCCGAGTCTACAATGGTACCCAGGTACACTGGTAAACTAAAACCTTGCTTTGCCTATCCTTCCTCCCGCTCAAAAAAGATTTTTGTACTTTTTAGGTGTGCTTTTCAAAAGTTTCTGACGATTATCACAGCTTATAATCCATCAAATATTTTCGCTCGCGCGCGATTGGCCTAAGTTACGCATCACGTGACCGAATATTCTCCACTTAAAACCGAGGAATATCTGAGTGATTTTTTCCCAATTTTCAAAACTGCGCGTGTTGTTGCGAAAAATATTTGAAGAATAATACACACAATATCCTCCATTTGGCACGAAAATTTGCTCGGATATTTGTCCTTGGACATTATCCGTTCCTTACAGTTCACGGAACAGTTAATGTCCGCGGACAAATATATCCGAGGATATTTGTGCGCCGAGTAGGGGCTATTGTCTACATATTTTCTTTCCCGGACCCCTCCTCCGTCGGGAGTGGGGGTGGGTACAACAACGCGGCGAGTAAGTTTTGGCGGGAAAAAATAAGTAATTGTGACGGATGCTGACATGCGGCACTTTAGAAAATGGTGGGAAAACGCCGTTGATACTAAAGAACATTCAACACGTTTTCTGACTGGATACGTTCCCCCTAGTATGCAAGAAATGGAAATTAAATTGAGAGAAGGTGATAAACAGAACGTTTCATTGGTTAAGTCTTTTTTCTTACCCGTCTTAGTTCATTTTCTTCTTTTTCCAACACGTAAACTTGTCTTTCAACCTGATCTAATTCGTCTTGGATCTTATGAGCCATGGTTTCCTCCTCTACGTCACCAGCTATTTCATGGCACAGTTTCTCCTAGCACAACAGAAACGAAAAGCATGTAAACCCTTTAGACGATTAGCCTGCGTAGCAGTCTTTTCCGTTTCCTCTTAGCGGGAGAAAGCGAGAGTCAAGGAGAAAGCGAGAGTCAAGGAGAAGTCGCGCGAACGCATGGGGCGAGAGCAAAAGCTTAGGAACGGGGGGGAGGGTGTCCTCCCTCCTGCCACTAATTTTCTTGTTACTTTTGTCCCCGTGCAGTCGCGCGACTCCCGCTCGCCTGAAAGGAAGCGGAAAAGACTGCTACGCAGGCTATTAGACGATCTGAAAGATATTCCATCAAAACTTAAGCCTACTTCTAAAGCGAATGGAAGATCAAAGTTTGACTTTCTTTTTCATTCTACATGTACTTGGGAAACATTGAGCAACGTACCGCACCACATGCTATAAATCTCAATATAGCTTTCATATGGTGAATACATTGACATAATCGTCTACACAGTTTAAAGTTCGAACCACTTCGTTTAGTAAGATAAACAGAAACACATGGGAGTACTGCTCAATAGCTTTCATTTGTGTGGTTACACACCACGGTTTCATACACAGACTTCAAAGTTAGAACCACCTTGTACAGAATAATAAATAAACAGTGCCACATGAAAGTACTGCTCAATAGCTTTCATTTGAATGGTCACACACTAGGGATATATCCCCAGACTTCAAAGTTAGAACGACCTTGTACAGCATAATAAACAGTACCACATGAAAGTACTGCTCAATAGCTTTCATTTGAATGGTCGCACACCACACACTAGGGTTTCATCCACAAACTTTAAAGTTATTCCTTAATATTAATATTACCTTAAGTGAAAGACGTTTCCGCTTTTCTGTTTGAACCTCTGCGAGTCTGCAACACAAAAATGAAAACTCAGTCTTACCACTCTTAGGGTGACACAGTGAACTAGTGGTTTGAGCACAGTGGTCTCGTGATCAAGCGGTCTGTGTTGGAGCCCTGAATAAGGTCATTGCATTGTGTTCTTGGGCTAAAGACACTTGCACTCTGACTGTGCCTCTCTCCAGTCCCAGGTGCATAAATGGGTACTGGTGAATTCAATGCTTGGTGGGGCGATGGAATAGCATTTCATCTAGGGGAGAGTAGAAATACTCCTAGTCACTTCATGCTACAGAAACCCAGATATGCTTGAATGGTATAGGCCACTTTACCTGTGTACAGCACTCTTACTTTTCAATGATAGTTACTACATTCCCCATATTTTATCAATTCACTCTGTGATATTACAAACATTTCAAACACAACTTCTCCTGGCCTTGAAATGAACTTCCTTTTAAACTGTAAGAAATCATTTTCACTTTTATTTTTTACACTGCATGAAACCTCAGGGAGAACTGTGTTAAAACATGTAAAATGAAGGCAATAGGGAGGACTACCAAGAACATAACTAAAGGGAAAAATTACAAGATTTGTTTTCCTGCAAAAAGAAGCATTTGGAAGGTATGTATAAATTTGCCTGGAGCAAAATAAAAATTCCAACTGATGAATTATAGCAATATTAGTATTAATATGTACAAACCTCAATTTCTTGCTCTCATAACATTCCTCTGTCAGCTATACACCAACAATAAGAGATAGTGAGTATCAGTTAGGATGGTGTCAATTTGNCAAATTCCTTCACTCTTGAAAGAAAGCCACTAGCCATGGACCCCAAGACTTAAATATAACATATAACACAAAATCACACTCTGATTGTCTGTGAGTCCCTATTGTTAATAATTGAGAGGATTAAAACTGATGGTATGTGTTAATGAGATGAGAATTCAGTCATGAGGTTATGAGTGTGAGTTAGGTCACTTCCTAAAAACAACATTTTTAATACAACCACTACAGGCTTACAATTTTTCATAAAATTGTATTGCTCCTGTAAGGAAGTAAACCCCATTAAAGAAACTAACAAAGTTTATTATTTCCCCACGCTTTAGCAGGCTTCATTGTTTTAATGTGAAATCATGCATGCTAAAAAGGGGGGTTAACCTTCGTAGTGAGAAGGGTCATCCCAACTTCCATGCAAAGAGAACCTAGAAACGTTATCCACAGCATTCTATAACAACATAGCAGATTCAAGACGTCAAATGGGCTTCTACAATGTCCTATACAATACAAGTTTTATTGTGTTTGCCAGATAATATCTAAGCCGTTGTACAAAACAAAAACACAATACATATTTGTATTCAAAACAAACCGTCATCCCGTTCATTCTAGAAAAACAGAACTAATTCTCGGCATCTGTCGCGCCGGATTTATAAATAAATGTCTGTTACTGGGAAACGGTTTTAACTCTAATGGAAACTGTTTAAGGTCGTATTAGATTAAAAGGGTCGTTAGCAAAATCACTAAATAGAAAATTACGACCACAAATTTGCAGGCTCAATGGCATGGCCTTGCCTTGCATTGAAAAACACCTCACGAACGCGCAACCAAAAATCGATTTAATTTCTTGATAGTACAAGAGTAAAATAACCAAAATAAATTTATACAAACCATATTTTGCTCAGCTCCGGTAGAGGCAATTTCGATCGTATAAATAAAGAACGAGCTTGCTCTCCTGAAATATTAAAAATATTTGAATAGCTGAGTGTTAACCGCCATATTAAAAACATTTCTGGTGAATTTGATATTTCACCGCGTACCAGATAGATATCTGTCTTGAGGTCTTTGGCTGTAAAACAATGCATCGTGGCGAGTTCTTTCCTCCTCAGATATCACCCACTTTAGATCCATGTCAGGCTGTAGAAGCGACCTGCAAAGAAGGAAGACTTCATTAATAAAATTTGCTGGGATCTTTCATTCATATTGCTGTAGATCAAGCTATGTCGAACTTCATGGAGACATACCTTCGAGTAATAAACACAATTTTCATAATCAGTGATAATGATTTACCTTCGGGTAGCCACTCATTGCTTTAATTCACCAATATACGAAGAATTCCTTTGCTTTTGGCTCTAATATTGACGAAATATTCCCCAGCCGTCCACATTTATTCCCATTTTGATGTCATGCCAAGTTTGTGTGCACACGGTCACGGTGTCTAGTTTCCATGAACGCGCGGCACGAGAGCGCGCGATCAACTCTCGATGAAATATTCGTAGTTTTTTCTCCGACTCTTGTCCTAGCCGTTCTCTTAGCTTAGGTAGTTTTTACAAACTTTTAATTTCCTATTTTATCTACGAAACTATTTGAAAATCTTCACATTTTCTTTTTATTTATCGCAATGTATAGTTATCAACTCGTACACCTGCCAATGTGTGTTTTTATTGCTTCACAGGTATTTTAATTTCGCTTGTAGCTTAGCTTGCTATCAGTGGTCTCTAAACTCACTAATTCGCACAACAGGCTCCTAAAAAATTCTTCGTTTTAATTTTGTAAGTTTTCCATTTCCCCTACATTATTGTCGCCCCTCTACATGTATTTAACAATAAAATTGCTATATTAAAATTACATTTTCTTTGTTAAAATTAGAACAAGTGTACTGACAAGATTCACCAGTGCTACTCGAATGAAAAAAAAAAAGATATATATATATATGTTCAATACCTACCAATGTATATTTAAAATCATCTTTCATGAATGCAAGGCCCTATTACATTACAGTTTTCGAAGCAATTACTTTTACATAATTACAACCCGGTTCGATGGCTTTTTCTCTAGGGTGGGGAGAGGGTTGGTAGAGGCCACAAAATTAACACTGAATTATAAATAGAATCGGCTGCACTAGTTTTCTTTACCGACCAATGGCAGGGAAGGATCTCTAATCGTTGAGGAATGACTAAATTTCTTCAGTTCCGATCTCTCCGAAGACCTCCGAAAGTCTCCGAAAAAGAAGGCATGTACTGATTTAGGAATTTTGAACGTGAGGGCTCTAGGCGCCAGCGGAAAGGGCGGTCAGCGGAGTATTGCCTGAGAGCACGTGGGCGAATCACCAACATGGCGGACGGAGAGGACGTCTCGAAGAAAGTCAAAGAAATTAAAGACAAAACCAAAGCTGTTCTAGAAAGCGACACCAATTCAAACTTCATTGTGGACATACTGGAACTATCAGAAACTCAAGACGAGAAAGTTTTGGTAGCATTTGTGAGATCAGCTCATAAAATCTTTACAACCTTTTCGTCCCGTGGAAAGTTACATCGGCAAACAAAACAAAAGCGAGCAACGAAAGAGGTCAGAGAAGAAACGAGTTCAGATCCCCAAGATGTCTTCAGCTACTGGCTACACGAAAAATATTTGCTTACGTTAAGACGGCTTCTGAATTTACTTCGCATCGGATCGCAGAACGTGAAGGAATTTGCCCTGTGTACCTTGATGAAGTTTCTTGTGGAAGAAGCAAAACAAGTCCAGAAATTTCCTAATGTTCTGTTCAGACAAACTTGCGATGCTTTGTTCGATGGAAAGTACAGCATGAAAGACTGTATCGAAAGATTCGCTGAGTATTTAGAGTATGATGATGTTAGATTTTATGTGCTTAAAAATCTCGGAAAAATTCTTGGAGACACTTCGAATTCCACTGGTAGTCAGGCCCAATATCTTGTGGAAAACGTCTTTGCAATGCTGAATTTGGTAAAAATGAAAGAAAAAGATGAAGAACTGAACAATCTACTCACTGAAATTAAGAGAAGTAAAAAGCGTGGCAGTGACAAAATTGAAAACAATGTTTTGGACTTGAAGCAACACAGGAACGTTTTCACCGCTGTCTGGATTGCTTTTCTTGCCCTCCCACTGACATCAGAAATTCACAAGAAAGTCTTGCTCAACCTTCACAGTGATGTATTGCCGCATTTGACTGAACCAAAGCTGTTAATGGATTTCTTAACCGACTCTTACAACACTGGTGGAGTGACGAGCCTCTTAGCACTCAACAGCCTCTTTGTTCTCATCCACAAACACAACCTGGACTACCCAGACTTTTTCAAGAAGCTGTATGCACTTTTTGGGCCGAACATCTTTTACGTGAAGTACCAAGCAAGGTTTTTTCACTTGGCTGACCTGTTTCTGATGTCAACCCATCTTCCAGCTTATCTGGTTGCAGCCTTTGTCAAGCGGTTGTCGAGGCTTGCTCTGTCTGCTCCCCCATCAGGTGCAATGTTGGTCATACCATTTGTCTGCAATCTGATCAAAAGGCATCCCAGTGTACAAGTCCTTATCCATCGAAAACAAGTAAGTACATGTAGATGTAAGTTTTTTCAAGGAAATGAGATTTATAAACCTTTGGGCCAGCCACTGGTAAGATGTTCTAGCAGAGATGTCCCTTTGACTTCATGGAGCTTGAAAAAAGTAAAATAACATGTGTATAGTAAGTGTATTGTATGCCCAATAGACTGCACAATCTGTTGTTTAGAAAAAGAGAACATTTTCGACATTCCTATCAAGTTATGCATTTAGAAACATGACTTGTAGTTTGGGAGAACAAGGAATGTTACAGGTCATGTTCCCATAGTAATCAAGTTCTCTTTAGCTGCCATTCAATCAAACTCAACTAGTAGGTATGTTCTCCTATTATGTGAGGATTTATTGATAAAAATGTGCCCAAGATTGGAAAAATTTGAGGAGTACACCCATGGTGAGGATAATTCATCCTCGTAGACCCAGGGGTAGTTAATGGGGGTGAGAGAAAGTCAAAGCGGCAGGGAAAAAAATCAGCAAAGAAAAGTTGGAGAGAAAGTGGAGAGCCCCTGGGGACAGCGTCTTGCAGCTCCAGGTTCCAAATAGTCCTAGGAATGCTGGCCTTTGATTGGGCAGAACAAATTCTTTGTATTATTCTATTCAATTGGCATGCAGCAGGTCCACAGTCTGTTTTGTGTGTTGTAATATGAAGCCTGCACAAAAGCAAGTAATTTCCAAACTTTCTTTCGTTTAGAGAGGAAAATTGTTGCTTGATGAAGGTACAGATGAGAGCACCACCAGTCTATGCCAAGGCGACCCATTTATTGCTGATGAACAAGACCCTGCCAAATGTGATGCCATGAAGAGCTCGCTGTGGGAGCTGAAAACGTTGCAGAGTCATTTCTACCCCACTGTGGCCTCCCTTGTGGAAATGCTGGAGAAGCCACTTGGTGCAGAAGAAACAGACATCTCAGAGTACTTTGATCAAGGGTATGATCAGTTGTTCCAAAAAGAATGCAAAAAGATCACAACACAGAATGCACATTTGGAGTTTCAAGCTCCCAAGGGAATTATTAGTAAAAGGATGTCAGACCACTGGGTTTTGGAGTAAACTGTTCAATTGGTAGAAGTTCATCTTTGTTTCACGGAACACTGTTGTTAGACATTCAAGCAATCTGTTGTGATTTCACAGTGAGTGAATTTGAAAAGCACATGCAAGTAGTATACTTTAAAAAGTAATCAGTTAATATAGACTACAAACAGCCTGTCCTCTGCTTAGTCTGTTGAGCAAGACCATAAATAAACCACAAGGGAAAAAAGGCCTCATAACGCACTTCTCGTCCTCAGGATTTTGTGTGGCAACACAACAAACTAAGTGAAAGAAGGACTACTCGTAGTCTACAGTGAATGCAACAACCTCTCCAAAGTTGGCGAAGCAATGAAAACAGGGATAAAAGCTCAATTTTCAAAGTGCTTACCTTCTGGGCAAATGACCTTGCGAAGTGCACCACGACTGCATAATTTATACTTTCCCAATAGGTTTTAAACTCCATTGGCCAAGTACAGCTGTAGGTGACTGCTAATTTCCATTCATCCCTGTTGGAAGTGACTATGCTTCACATACTAGCATATGTGTAAGGGCTAGATTTAGCTTTTGTTTTTGTCAACATGCCAAAGTAGGTCACCAAGTGGTAAGGAAATATTTGAGAGGTATTGCTAATTGTCTTTTCTTTTTTTGAGTGGGAGGGGGTAGGGGGAATATTTTTCCTTCTCTTTGGGGAGGGAAAGAATAAGGAATGTTATGTTTCAAAGAAGGGTTCAGCTTATGTTTTCAACAGAGTTTTGCTTCAGATAAATTAGGGTTCGTATTAAAGTACTGCTTGGTAATTTATCAAAATATGGAAACGTTATGAAATACAGAACAATATCTAACACCATCAAAATTCTCATCAATAATCTGTAAAGATTTTGGAAAAATACACTTTGCCACGGTTAATGCCTTTTATGGTCACGTGGTTCCAGCGTTCGTCTCAGATACGTCCCTGAAATGAATTGGCCGTGAAGGCCTGAGAGAAAATCGCACAGGAACTACTGTAGGTAACAAAGTACATACAGAACAGGCTTTCAAGCGTTATAAAAAGTTGGCGCATTTGACAAGAATTTTCACATCTGATAATCTTGAGGCTCCCGTTTTGTGTTCTGGGATTCGGTGCGTTTGTTCAGATATTTTCGTTTTTTTGGTCTCCTTAATGTTAAGACTTTAATGTTTTCAGGACTTTGTAAACTGTAATGGCTAAGTACTGCATGTTTTACTGACTTTACGTTTGGTACAATGTTTCAACTTTTTATGACAAAATTGTGGGTAGCACATCGAGAAATTGTTTATGTGGATCTAGTGTGTGGACACTGCATTGCCAGCTGCCTCTAATGAAGTTTAAACCACGCACTTTTTGTTTGAATTCTCAACGATTCCTTTTAGAGTGCTCGATTAAGGGTGCCCTCCAATTACATCCACGTGGGAAGAATCCATGTGCTTCAATAAATAAAGGAAGGAGCTGACAAGAAGGTCGTAAACAGGAACTTGAAGAAACTTGATAGTTTCATTTTATTTCCCAGCTTGTCTCATTATTATTCAGTTAAGATAACCTAGCTTTATGATAATGCCAACTACAGGACAATTGTTGAATTAAGAGCTTCTACTGTTAGTTAGTAAGCTAACTTTCTATTGGTTGCTGAAGAATTATACGTCAGTAATTCGCCAGTGAAAACACAACGGCAAAGTTTGTTTAATGACAACCGATCAAGCTCGAGGAAATTTCATTAGCAAAGAAGCTAGTGTTTTTTTCCTGTGAGATTCGTTCACTGCTGTGACGAGAATGCCTTTTTTTCCAATTGGAAATATTTCGGGCGCTTGAAAAATTTTTGCCGTTAGCTTCCGTCTCTTGGAACTGTCTCGTAACGGGCTGTGGACTGAAAAAGAAATATGTGCTTGCATTGGAGGCTTGTAAATGATGAACTAACTGGAAGCAGTGGGAAGATGAGAATTTACTGAAAAGTCTTACAGTGTAAGCTTTCTCTTGCTGTTGCGTGGTTCATATCGAGTTGGATTCGGATAAATTTAATGCTCAAGAGTAGAACTTTAACATGGGGACTTCGCAAAGCACTTGGAGAGTCACAAATAAAGTTCCGAAGCGAAGACAATCAAGTGCGGTGAAGAATGGATCTCTCGTGCGGGGACATAAATTTAAAAGTGAAAGTAATTTACTGGACGAGGTGCGCACAAAAAACGTTCAAACGAATCCTTTGTATCGACATCACGATATATTCGATAACGATTTATTTTTTGAAGAAATCTTGGCCAAGATAGAGCAAGAGGCCGCCAAATTGTCAAACTCGGATAAACACAGCGATAATCCAAAGGGGTTTGACTCCTTTATGCTGTATTGATTTGAGACAAGTTTGTGGGAAGTTCTCCTTTAAATCCACGCCATCGAGGCAAAATATGGTAATATCATGGTTGCTGTACGTTCCGAACTCCTGCCGAGAAGTGAAATAGTTATATTTTGCTTAATAATGTGAACTTTTTACTACAGATTTTAAAGGCCTGTATTTTATTGCCTCGACTTACTTTCGAATGGGAGCGAAATTTATGTGGAACACGTTGTTACAAATAAAAGAAAATTGCCAGAGAAAATTTCTGACAGCTTATGAAGAACGAGTGCGTGTATGCACATTGTGCGAAGGCTGTGAAAAGACTTATTTGTCAATAATTTTAGTGACAAACTGCTGATAAATTGTCAAGTTATCAGAATTGTTCAGTTTTGCTTAACGATTGCGACAATCTTTAGACTTAGAGACCAGAGACAACAGATGAACATGAAATATATTCAAAATATACGATATATCTTGGCAAAAAAAAGCTGTATTTTATAGTCTAGACAGTGCATTAGTTTTGGTTACAGAACTTGGCACCACCTGCCAATAAATTATTCATTCTCGTAATATTTTTTAACATGACAATGCTGTATGGACTTCGGAGTCAGCTCGGAGTCTTTCAATATGGGTTTATATAATAAAGATTATTCTAACTTTTCTCATTTGTTTATTTTGGCATATTCGTTTGACTTACAAAGTATGGCTGACACATAGAACTTAGCCTGCCTCCGCACGTGCGTTATAAACAGGTTCTTCTTGTCCAGGATTTAGTTAAATGAAAACGCGGCGATTTTAGCATAATATATCCACTCAGGATTAGAAAAGTTAATGCGAAATCCTCATTTCTTGTCGCCTTCCGCGGTTTTATACGCTGACTTAAACCTTTTTTCTTTTTACTGTAAATCTTCGAATTAGCGCCCGGGGTGCTTATTTCAAATTTAGGAGGAGACGGGGGGCGCTTAATCGAGGTGGGCGGGGGGCGGGGCGCTTATTTAATTTTTCCCAATTCGTGGCCTGACATGATCATTTTTGTAATACATCATCTGCGCGTAAACAACAACATAAGCCGTTTTTCGACATAAAAAGCTGATCCTAAAGTTTAAATCGCGGCACCGTTAGTACTTGTAATTTTTTTTTTTTTCACAAACTGAAACAAAACTATACATCCTTTGTTGTCTCATTACTCGTCCACAAAATGGGGGGAGGGGAGCTCGAGGGGGGCGCTTATTCGAGGAGGGGCGCTTGTTTTAAATTTTGGCCAACTGGAGAGGCGCTTATTTGAAGGGGGTTCTTATTCGAGGGGGGGGGGGGGG